GCAGAGGGTAGACAGAGAGGCAGCAGGCGTCACAGGCTGTCCAGGTCCAGACAGAACGTTTCCTCCACTCAAACAGGTTTCTAACTGCTGCTCAGCAAGCTGTGGACGAGGCGTCCTACACTACAATAAACATTAAAAATATGGAAACCAGATTGATGTTAAAATCAGCCCTACATTCAGTTCATCATTTAGTCCTGTTTAATGATGTGTTTGCAGATTATGGGTGAGGACGGGGAACATTTTAGATATGTCTGATTGAACCAAAGACGGGCCTTTTTTCAGTCTCATTTACAACCATGTAATTATTTGTTTTGCAGTAAGTACAAATATTTGCATAAACTTTGTTAGTTCACAATAAAATTGTTCATCTCTATTCGTGTGGTGATTTTGTGACAATGAATTTCTTTTAGTTTGATGTTTTTGTGTCTGTTTCAAACAGATGTGAGTCTTAAGCCGCAGGTAGGTGATGTGTTTATCATAGCTGAGTAAAGCTGCTGTCAGTTAGGGAAAAGGTTTGTCACTAATTTAAACTTAAACTAATATTAATGTCAATAATTGTCCTCTTCAACGTGGCTGAACAGCGAGTCAGAGTCGTGTTAGCTCACGAGCGACATAGAAACCAGTTTGATCTCAACTGGGCCAGATCAGCAAAACTAACAGCCATAAGGTTTCACCTTTGCAGCGCCACGTTGGACTCCTGCTGGCGTCAGAACTTTTAAGCCTTCATGGCGTGGATCCATCAAGGCGCTGAAGACTGCTCTCAGAGATTTTACAGCCTCGACTGCACAGCCTCCTGTTCCTTGGTTCATTCCTGCGGCGCTGCCATTTGAGTCCAGTGGACTTAATGTTATGTTAAGAAAACACTTTCAGATGATTTGAGCTTTGTAACGTGGCGCCTTATCCTGCTGAACGCAGCCACAGAAGCTGGTTACACTGTAGTCGTAAAGGGATGGATGTGGTCTGCAAAAGCACTCAGATAAGCTGTGGTATTTAAACGATGCTCAGTTTGTACTAACGGGCCCAAAGTGTATCCTCTACACCTTAAACCACAACCAACCTGAACCACTGACACAAGGCACAATGGATCCATGCTTGTAAAGTCTGAGCCCACCATCCGGACAATGCAGCAGGCATCAACACATCATTTGTAGCGTCAGACTCCTTTCCTTAGCTGACAGGAGTAACAGCTGCTGTGTTCAGAGATGCTCTTCTGCATATTGTAGTTGGACCGAGTTTTTATTTGAGTTTCTGTTGCTTTCCTGCTGTTCTCCTCTGCCATCAACAAGAGGACAGAGAATTCCCGCCGACAGAATATTTTTTCCATCGTCTGCAAACTGGAAAATGTGGGAAAAATTGAGTTTCTGCTGAGTTATTAAATATTTGCTTTAACGAGCAGTCGAACTGGTTTTGCTGATGAAATAATCGGTGGTTGTATTTTGCATGTTCTCCCATGTTTGCGTGGGTCTCTCCGGGTACTCGGTCTTCCTCCCACAGTCCAAAGACATTTAGAGAGTTAGTGGGCTCAGGTTAGGTTCTCTATGTGTGGCAGCTTGTCCAGGTTGTACCCCACCTCTCTCCCTATGATTGCTCAGATAGTCTCCACCCCACATCCTGAAATCCAACAGGATGATAAAAAAACTGAAGCACTCCTCACGACCATAAAACTCTGATGATATTGTCTTTTTTAAAATCTTTGTAATTCAAGCAGATTCTCTACATATAGAAATATTTTTTAGACGTCTGCACATCTGTGTAGTGCTGGTATCACCACAGTGACGAGAACACAATTTATTGAAAAAATGGAGTAATTAATAACTTCATCTACGGAAAACAATCTACTGGACTGAAGTGACAAGTAGGGCTGCCACAAAC